CCGTTTGCTAGACCGGACAAAGCGTTCTGCAGAACATCCTCTATGACAAAGTTGAGAAGGAATTGTCGAACTCCAGGAGGAAATAACCGATCATACACACAGAGAAACCTTCACTGATCGAGTGGGTGTCATCAGTGGTAGATGTAATGTAAAAAAATACCATCCTCTATTGTCAGAAATAATCAAGCGAAGCTGTCGAAGTCACATAGTTACATTTAGGGTGTTAAGTAAGCTGTGGTTTAGCAGTGGTTGTTACCGACGTGCTTAGGACCCTATGTTCCGAGGTTCGAGCCCCGCCACTGGCACAACTTTGGTGGTTCACCGCTCCAAGTCAAAGGGTTTGTGCCACCAGTTTCCATCAGTGTACAGTAGGTCCTTGTGACTATAGGACTTTCTCCGTTGGCTGTTCATCATACTAAGGTGTGTTATAAAAAAAGATGAACAACTGGTGATTTGGTCTTCGTGTTTCATTACCGCGAATTCGACCCTTATTCGTGTGTCGCTTCTGAGGATCGAGCAAGGTTAAGCAGTACGACAGTCCAATCTTTATCAATCTTTATCTTCAGAAACGTTACGGTTCAAATTTCGAACCTTGATGACACTAAGTAATTTATACGACTTTCGTTTAGCCCCGTAACACGACTGCCTTATTAGGGGCTTATGGAGTCTCAAAGTTTATTGGTTTCAATAATGGAACACGAGACCTTCGTTACGATGGGGTTCGTCACATAAAAGGGTCTAATAAAAATGACCGTTCATCCCGATTGTTACGATTTAGTTAACTGTTCTTGCTGAATTCGTGATTTGCATGCAGCCCGCAAAAAAAGCAAATTTGAGGGAATTGGGTATCTGCCATTTTTATAGTTATACCCAGTTATTAGGCGACATCTGCGTTTTTCAGTTCCAAATCTTTGTTTCATATCCCAGACCCGATATTGCAAGGTTTAGCACACAACTAAGAGATGAACGCCGCGCACGATATCTCAGTTTAAAGCAGGTAAATGCTATTTTGTGTCCAGACCGTGATGAGATGTAGACGATCACCGGAAAAACTGTTCTAAGACTAGAATGAATGTGTGCGATTGTTAATCCTTGTAGAATCGTGAATAAACCAGAAAATCTAGTCGTCTTTGTAGATAAAAAAAACATTTCTCAGATGGAAGAAAACAGTTCCACCTTTAAATAAAAGGCTTTTAGTGAGGGGACTGCCACAACAGAGAAGTACTACAGAAATATTAAAATACATTATCACCACCAAAATTAATTAATAATTAATAATAATAATAATAATAATAATAATAATAAATAATAATTAATTAATAACTAATTAAAAGCATGTGCTTACCGGGACTAAATAGTTCAACGGCACCCATCCAATTTGGTCTGCTTCGGATTTGCAAAATACCCAGTCCTTTTTTTGCCGAATGAAATGAAGGATGTCCCCACGATTAAATGAAAGGTCTGTTTCCTCCTATGCGACAAATATGCGGTTACAAAGACAAATGATATAGCCCAAAACATACTTGACCAGTATAGTTGTGCAGGCCAATGTATACTGCTTTGGGAGCCGGCTGTTTCAACCTGCAAGCGGAGGTTTTAGTCTCCATGTATTGTCGAATAAGATCGTCAAACGATTCATACAAGGAATCGCCAAATCGAAACATTTTGCTATGTGAAATGAACGATATTAAGTATCGTTTGACTCCATTGGCTTCCCTGGCGAAAAAAATCGGCTGTTTTACAGAAAAACTATGACAAGAAACTTACTTCACAGCCAAAGCGTATCCGGATTTTGTAGTGCTATCTCGAACAAGAAACGTCCCAACTGGTTGATCGACCAGAATCTCATTTGTTTTTTCTCGACTTATCTCACCGAAATACCAACTGCGCATACATAATGTTGAAAAGAACACACTCGGTAGCATACCTGGCGTCTGGAACGGCCGGATCCGTGTTTGACATGTTTGCGATACAGAGGGACGTGGTGGGAATAGCGGGTTCTATGACAAGTATAGGGGAACCCAATTAGAAGCGAAACAAAGTTAAGTGAACCACACTGATCGCTGCCAAACTCGCAATGCATAAAAGGTTAGTGGTAATATTTAAGGTGGACAGTCAGGAGCAGGTGAAACTCTATGATCAACACAGCATACAACAGCACTTTGCGTACATACATTCTGGCCTGATAAGAAATGACAACAACGCCGCTGCTGTCGATTCGCTGCCATATCCTTCAATGTCTCCAACCAACCAGTTTCGGATTCTCTCGGAGCCAAACCTGGAAGGCGCGATTCACCTATTCTATCTAATTGCTCTGTGCATTTCTTTACGCTTCGTTTCTACGTCACCTGGTGAAGTCCACGTGGTTCCCTCCAGCCCGGACCGGCTACAGAGAATAAAGCACGGTGTTGCAGACAGCTGAGCATACGCAATACGTGCCCTAACCAGCGAATTCTACTAATCTGAATTCGATGTGCTAGCAAGTTTATCCCTCCCAAATACAAGACGGCTTATCCCCAGATTACTAACCCGTTCGCTCCACATGAGCTAAACTAAGTAAACACCGATATTCGAAAACTTCTTGTAGACGGATATCTACTCGCAGATTCAAGGTCTCACAACCATAAAGCAGAACTGAACGAGCGCTAGCATAATATACACGACCTGGCAACTTCACTGAAATGTCACGTCGTTGCCATAGGTGTTTAGTCCTGCGTACGCTGATCGAGCCTTGGAAATGTGGGCGGTTATCTGCTTTGCTGTGCTACCGTCGTTGGGCACGCATCTACTTAAGTACGAGAAGCTAATGCCTAACGACCGAGTTTCAGAACGGGACTCGGCGACACCCAGTCTTGCAGCATCACCTATCACTTCGAAGGTGCACACCGCATAACAAACGGAGTAACAGAACTTGCTAGTGTGTCAAATTCGCTTTGTGCATCCTCCATACATTCGGAAATGCAAACGAGGTCGTCAGCGTACTCCAAATCGCACAGATTTTCTCCAGCGGCCCATTCAACACACATTTTGGAGACCACTTAGTGCATTTTTCGGTAATTCACCTACTACGAAATTGAGCAGAAATGGTGTAATAGGGCACGCTTGACGAAAACCGATGCTTGTTACAAGCGACCTGCTCAGCTCGTCGTAGAACCCTACGATACCACAAGTACGCAAAAACAACGACCAGTGTGTTCATATATTTCTGCTGCGTTCCTTTGCGAAGGAGCGAATCCATAAGGGATTCGCGGTCGATTAACTCGATGGCTCCTTTAGGTCCAGGAACATGTAAGCGTTGGAAGACGGTGTGTAAGGTATAGCTCGAAGACTTGGTGCAGACTGAATATTTGATCGACCGCGGTTTGGTCGAAATCCGGCTTGTTGTTTGCGGATATTTGTCTCCCTAAACTCTGTCAGACGTCAGAGTATGAAGGAGGCTAATAAATTGGTGACGATTGGAATTAAACTTATTTAACAGTAGTTTGCGCGGTTGTTGCGAGATCCCTTCCTAAAAATTGGAACAATCAGTGATTCGCTCCCGGATGATAGAATGCGTTCGTGTGACCAGAAGTTACGCATTACACCAGTAATGGAGTTTACAAGGTCATCGCCCACCCACCCCCATCTTGAAAAGAGTGGGAGGAAGCCCGTCCGGTTCAGCTGCTTTTCTCTTCTTCAGGGCTCGGATGCAAGAACAAACTTCTGTTGCAGTAGGAGGTTCAGATGACACTGCCCATAGAGCCTCAGCTACATCAGAGGAGATAATCTGGTTAACGCCTGGCCAGCTGAACTGTTCGTTGAAGTACTCCGCCCAACGGTCAAGTCGTTGTTCCCTACTGTGAATAGCTTGTCCACTTTTGTCGCAGAATGCTCCACTAACTGTGGTTCGCCGACCTCCGACATTGCGTATAAGTTGGAACAGTCTTT